TAAATTACAACGCCATTCCTCTTGTTTTGGGAATCTTTCTGAAATAAGCACTTTTAGACCATGGGCAGTGGACAGAAGCCAGGATAACTCCTGAAAGGCTTTGATCCCGGGCCTAGTTTGTATTTTCATTTAAACTGTAAGACCACACAGTGGGGCAGGCAGAGAAGTAAAAATTTACAGTAGGGTATGGGACAGTCACCAGGTGTTAAGAGCAATTACCTATTATTTCAGCAATTTCCCCAGCTTTGTTCTGTTTTATGTAGTAAGGGAAGTCATGCCTGTCAAATAGGCAGCACAAGTAGTGCTGCATGTAAACGAGCAAATAAATCAATATAAACCAGTACTTGGTCTTTTACATCTTATTCTGTTTAATTCCCTCCTTCTCATCTTCCACAACATCAGTTTATATTCACTTTACATCAGGTGTAATTACCTTACAAATCTATGTTGGAGTACTTCTGGTGTACCATCTGCACTGTACTCTGTTGGCTCTTGGTTGTCCTTCTAGCTTTAATCGTTTTAAGCACGCCGTTGGCATTTTCTCATGCTATTCCCAACCATCTCCCCTTTCAGTGTTAATCAAGCCTAATCCTCTAGGATTTTGCAGGACCATTGTTGCCAAGTAATCTACTTCATTCTGAAGAGTGACTATGCTTTTTGTAACAAGAACTACATGTTTCTTGCTTTGAGTAGAGACCTGGCTAGGATGAATTTATTCGATGCCTTATTGCAGAGTCATTGGCAGTCATGGAGACTGTCAGAATTGTTCCCAGCAGGACTGGTAAAAGTATAGGAGATCTTTTACTAGAGGATATAAATGTTGCTGGATCTTGCTGTCTGGTAGCACATCTAAGTTAGAGGCCAAGAACACTAGCCTGCAACTGTCTTCTGGGTAACAGGTGTGATCACCATTGCAGCCTGCACAATAGGTAGTGCTAGGAGCTACTGTTCTTTTATTTAGTCTAGTACAGCCTTTTCCATTTCTCACACATCGGACTTCTCTTACGACTTTATTAGATGGCCCAGTTATATATGTCCTTTTCCTGCTGTTAGCCTGGCTTTGGTTATTTGTTCCTACTCCAGTGTAAGTAACCCGGCTTGCATGTAAACATATCCAGCGATCCTAACATAGGTAAAGGAACACATGGCTGGCATTTATTAAAGTCAACATTTTAGACATGTCTTTTTTCAGATGACAGGCTTTATGGGGTCATTTCCTATAATATTTAACCTTGTTTCCCCATCCCTAAAAGCCCGTTATGGCTTTAACTCCTCCTCACTCTCTGGGAGATCCCTTCCAGGACCCTTTCATGGCAAAGCCCATGTATTACCAGAATAAAGAACAATAGGTTCCCCACAATCCATAACTCTTTTGTCTTTTGGCTACTTGTCCATGGGCAAGGGTCATCTCCAAAATGACACACAGCCTATTTACCAGATGGAGGGCAGTTCCATCACAAGTATGATGAGGTCCAAGGGGTGATCAATAGATGAGCATACACAGGATCAGGAAAGTAGCATGGAAGCTGAGCTGTCATCTTCATTCTGAGGTTGTTTTGAGATTGTAAGTTTCAGAGGCTGGTCAGGGTTGGCTCACATCAGCCTTGGTGTGGGTCCTGGGGTTTATGCACAACTTGACACTTGCAACTTTGAGCAATTTTCTGTGTAGTGATAGCCAAGTCTTTCAAAACCTCCGGAACCCCACAGGGGATGCATGCTTTCTAGTTCCAGAGACTTTCAGTGAGCTGAGAGCTGGAAGAGGCAGCCTCTCTGGGCTAACTGTGGTCTCGGTGAAGGAGATCTCACAGAGGCCTCCATAAATGTCAACAGAATCTTTCTGGAATAAGATCTCTGATGCCAGTGAGAGGAGAAGAGAGAAAATGTTATCAGTGGACCAAAGTCAGGACAGCTCCAGAAAGGCTTCGATCCTTAGCCCAGTTTGTGTTTTTATTTTATACTCTAAAACCACAAGGCAGGGCAGGCAAGCAAGCAATATTTTACAGTAGTGTATGTGGTGGCAGTTATCGGGGTTGTTAAGGGAAATGACCCATTGTTTTAGCTATTTTTTCAGGTCATTCTGTTCCAGGCAGCAAGTGAAGTCATGCTTGACAAATAGGCAGTACATGCAAGGGCTTTAAGGAAACCACTAATAAATCAATACCCAGTAATTGCTCTTTTATACCTTATTCTAGGAGTTGTCAGAACTTGTAAAATACAAAGTATGAAAGAGTTCACTATGTTTCCTTTTGTTGGACTTATTCCAGTTGTTCAATGTCAAACAAACATAACATTTAACGTGTAGGATAAAACCAATATAGCACAGCAGCAGAGCAGACAGATTTAAGGGTGTATAATCACCTATGGTATAATTTTGGATGAATATTTTATTTCTTTGAGTCTCTATCCACAGCTGGAAATAAATAATATGCTTCTTTTACAATAAGTGAGGCAACTGTAGGGCTCTGGGGTAGCCTGGTGCAAGATTCCTTTTTTTATATTAATTTTTATTATTTTAATATTAATCACAGGTTATTTACTTTGTATCCAAGCTGTAGCCCCCTCGATCATTCCCTCCCAATCCCACCCTCCCTCCTTCATCTCTTCCCTGTCCCTTTCCAAGTCCACTGATAGGGGAGGTCCTCCTCCCCTTCCATCTGATCCTAGCTTATCAGGTATCTTCAGGACTGGCTGCAATGTCCTCCTCTGTGGCCTAGCAAGGCTGTTCCTCCCTTGGGGGGCAGGGGGAGGTAAAGGAGCCAGCCATTGAGTTCATGTCAGAAATAGTTTCTGTTCCTCTTACTAAGGTACCCACTTGGATACTGAGCTGCCATGGGCTACATCCGAACAGGGGTTTTAGGTTATATCCATATATGGTCCTTTGTTGCCCTGATATATTTTTTCCTTGTAGAGCTCCTGTTCTTCCCCGGTCATATTAACTTCCCCTTTTATCACATGATTCCCTGAACTCTACCAAAGCTTTGGTTATGAGTCTCAGCATCTGCTTTGAAACACTGCTAGGTAGAGTCTTTCAGAGGCCCTCTGCAGTAGGCTCTTGTCCTGTTTCTTGTTTTCTCTTACTTCCCATGTCCATCCCATTTGTCTTTCTAATGAGGATTGATCATCTTACCCCGGGTCCTTTTTCTTGTTTATCTTCTTTAGGTGCACATATTTTAGTATATTTATCCTATCTTATAGGACTATATAAGTGAGTATATACCATGTGTGTCTTTCTGCTTCTGGGATACCTCACTCAGGATGATCTTTTCTAGATGCCAGTATTTGCCTATTTTTGATTTCCTTGTTTTTGATTGCTGAGTAGTATTCCATTG